GGGAGGGGATGGTGACAAGGGGAGAGAATGGTGACAAGGGTAGGGGATGGTGACAAGGGGAGGGAATGGTGACAAGGGGAGGGGATGGTGACAAGGGGAGGGAATGGTGACAAGGGGAGGGGATGGTGACAAGGGGAGGGGAGGGGATGGTGACAAGGGGAGGGGAGGGTGACAAGGGGAGGGGATGGTGACAAGGGGAGGGGAGGGGATGGTGACAAGGGGAGGGGAGGGGATGGTGACAAGGGGAGGGGAGGGTGACAAGGGGAGGGGATGGTGACAAGGGGAGGAGGAATGGTGACAAGGGAAGGGGATGGTGACAAGGGGAGGGGAGGGTGACAAGGGGAGGGGATGGTGACAAGGGGAGGGATGGTGACAAGGGGGAGGGGAAGGGGGTGACAAAGGGAGGGGAGGGTGACAAGGGGAGGGGATGGTGACAAGGGGAGGGAGGGGATGGTGACAAGGGGAGGGGATGGTGACAAGGGGAGGGGATGGTGACAAGGGGAGGAGGAATGGTGACAAGGGAAGGGAATGGTGACAAGGGGAGGGGAGGGTGACAAGGGGAGGGGATGGTGACAAGGGGAGGGGATGGTGACAAGGGGAGGGGAGGGTGACAAGGGGAGGGGAGGGTGACAAGGGGAGGGGATGGTGACAAGGGGAGGGGATGGTGACAAGGGGAGGGGATGGTGACAAGGGGAGGGGAGGATGACAAGGGGAGGGGATGGTGACAAGGGGAGGGGAGGATGACAAGGGGAGGGGATGGTGACAAGGGGAGGGATGGTGACAAGGGGAGGGGATGGTGACAAGGGGAGGGGAGGATGACAAGGGGAGGGGATGGTGACAAGGGGAGGGGAGGATGACAAGGGGAGGGGATGGTGACAAGGGGAGGGGATGGTGACAAGCAAAGGGGTTGGTGACAAGCGAACGGGAGTGGTGAGAAGAGGAATGATGAAAAGGAGAACGGTGGGGGAGGAAGTGGTAACAAGGAGAATGGCGAGGATGGAATTGATGGAAGGGAGTGATGAGGAAGGATGTGGTGACAAGGAAAGTGCTGACAAGGAGAGCAGTGAAGAGGGTAGAGTTGGCGACCGGAGGGTGGAGGACAGACATAGGGGGGAAGGGACCGTCACGAGGAGGGTACAGGAGGGCGGCAGAACCAGCATAAGAATAGGTCATATCCCTCTTGAAGCAGAGGCGGCCCACCCACAATAACCGCAGGGCAGTGCCTGGCCGACCCGCGTGTACTTGCGTCACAGTGCTCCACGTCACTCATCTCACGTGTCAATCGGAAATCAAGGACAAAAACGCCCGTTATCCGCTGGGGTGGGTACGATCAGTTATTCGTCCTCTCCCAATTCTATTACAGAGTGGAGAGTCAAGTTATAGAGGCGTCGTGAGGATTGATAGCATAACAACTAGATATACAACGGCAAATGAACAATGCTTAAAGAGGTTCAGCTGTGGAGTAATGATGAGAGAACCCACACTCATCCATCGTGACGGAGGAAGGAAGCTAGCGGTCAAGTCTGTCTACTCTCTCATGGATGTCAATATTGCTTTACAGGGATCGAGCAGTACTAGTTATTCGCACCTCCTACTGCAAACCACGTTAAGACAAACAAGGAAAATAACTTAATTACAATTACATACGGATCAAAATACCTCATCCATATCAACCAAACTTGGCCGAATACCCATCACGCGTCAACACACAACACGGGGTAACAGTTGGCAGGCTTATCACTGCAATTGCCGAGGGTGGTCGCGGGCGGTTCGGTACATGGGCTATTCCCGGCTTGTGTGATGCTTTTTGATTACTCAAGAATACTGGCATTTTGAGAAGCTACGATGGCCTTCCTTTGGTGAGAAAAATGACGAAGTTTCGGCACAATGTACTATTTTTATTCTTTTTTTTATTCATTACTTCGGTTACGTAAGGAAGATGATCGGCGCTTTTCGCTATCTGCCGTTCGGATACAATTCTTTACTTCAATTAATCAATCAATCTACACTCCCTACTCCCCTTTCCTCCTATTTCTCTTTCCTTGTTCTCCTCCCCCTTCTCATTCACATTCTCCTCCCCATTCTCACTCTCTCTCTCTCTTTCTCTCTTTCTCTCTCTCTCTCTCTCTCTCTGCTGTCTGTCTGTCTGTCTGTCTGTCTCTCTCACTCTCGCTCGCTCTCTCTCTCTCTGTCTCTCACTTTCGTTCGCTCTCTCTCTCTGTCTGCCTGTCTCTCTCACTCTCGCTCGCTCTTTCGGTCGGTCTGTTTGTCTGTCTGTCTGTCTGTCTGTCTGTCTGTCCGTCTCTCTCACTCTCACTCTCTCTCTCTCTCTCTCTCTCTCTCTCTCGCTTGCTCGCTCTCTCTCTCTCTCTCTCTCTCTCTCTCTCTCTCTCTCTCTCTCTCTCTCTCTCTCTCTCTCGCTTGCTCGCTCTCTGTCTCTCTCTCTCGCTTGCTCGCTCTCTGTCTCTCTCTCTCGCTTGCTCGCTCTCTGTCTCTCTCTCTCGCTTGCTCGCTCTCTGTCTCTCTCTCTCGCTTGCTCGCTCTCTGTCTCTCTCTCTCTCTCTTGCTCGCTCTCTGTCTCTCTCTCTCGCTTGCTCGCTCTCTGTCTCTCTCTCTCGCTTGCTCGCTCTCTGTCTCTCTCTCTCGCTTGCTCGCTCTCTGTCTCTCTCTCTCGCTTGCTCGCTCTCTGTCTCTCTCTCTCGCTTGCTCGCTCTCTGTCTCTCTCTCTCGCTTGCTCGCTCTCTGTCTCTCTGTCTCGCTTGCTCGCTCTCTGTCTCTCTGTCTCGCTTGCTCGCTCTCTGTCTCTCTCTCTCGCTTGCTCGCTCTCTGTCTCTCTCTCTCGCTTGCTCGCTCTCTGTCTCTCTCTCTCGCTTGCTCGCTCTCTGTCTCTCTCTCTCGCTTGCTCGCTCTCTGTCTCTCTCTCTCGCTTGCTCGCTCTCTGTCTCTCTCTCTCGCTTGCTCGCTCTCTGTCTCTCTCTCTCGCTTGCTCGCTCTCTGTCTCTCTCTCTCGCTTGCTCGCTCTCTGTCTCTCTCTCTCGCTTGCTCGCTCTCTGTCTCTCTCTCTCGCTTGCTCGCTCTCTGTCTCTCTCTCTCGCTTGCTCGCTCTCTGTCTCTCTCTCTCGCTTGCTCGCTCTCTGTCTCTCTCTCTCGCTTGCTCGCTCTCTGTCTCTCTCTCTCGCTTGCTCGCTCTCTGTCTCTCTCTCTCGCTTGCTCGCTCTCTGTCTCTCTCTCTCGCTTGCTCGCTCTCTGTCTCTCTCTCTCGCTTGCTCGCTCTCTGTCTCTCTCTCTCGCTTGCTCGCTCTCTGTCTCTCTCTCTCGCTTGCTCGCTCTCTGTCTCTCTCTCTCGCTTGCTCGCTCTCTGTCTCTCTCTCTCGCTTGCTCGCTCTCTGTCTCTCTCTCTCGCTTGCTCGCTCTCTGTCTCTCTCTCTCGCTTGCTCGCTCTCTGTCTCTCTCTCTCGCTTGCTCGCTCTCTGTCTCTCTCTCTCGCTTGCTCGCTCTCTGTCTCTCTCTCTCGCTTGCTCGCTCTCTGTCTCTCTCTCTCGCTTGCTCGCTCTCTGTCTCTCTCTCTCGCTTGCTCGCTCTCTGTCTCTCTCTCTCGCTTGCTCGCTCTCTGTCTCTCTCTCTCGCTTGCTCGCTCTCTGTCTCTCTCTCTCGCTTGCTCGCTCTCTGTCTCTCTCTCTCGCTTGCTCGCTCTCTGTCTCTCTCTCTCGCTTGCTCGCTCTCTGTCTCTCTCTCTCGCTTGCTCGCTCTCTGTCTCTCTCTCTCGCTTGCTCGCTCTCTGTCTCTCTCTCTCGCTTGCTCGCTCTCTGTCTCTCTCTCTCGCTTGCTCGCTCTCTGTCTCTCTCTCTCGCTTGCTCGCTCTCTGTCTCTCTCTCTCGCTTGCTCGCTCTCTGTCTCTCTCTCTCGCTTGCTCGCTCTCTGTCTCTCTCTCTCGCGCGCGCTCTCTTTCTCTCGCTCGCTCTCTTTCTCTCGCTCGCTCTCTTTCTCTCTCTCGCTCGCTCTCTCTCTCTCGCTCGCTCTCTCTCTCTCGCTCGCTCTCTTTCTCTCTCTCGCTCTTTCTCTCTCTCGCTCTCTTTCTCTCTCTCGCTCGCTCTCTTTCTCTCTCTCGCTCGCTCTCTTTCTCTCTCTCGCTCGCTCTCTTTCTCTCTCTCGCTCGCTCTCTTTCTCTCTCGCTCGCTCTCTTTCTCTCTCTCGCTTGCTTGCTCGCTCTCGCTCTCTCGGTTGCTTGCGCGCGCTCTCTCTCTCTCTCTCGCTCTCTCTGTCTGCCTGTCTCTCTCTGTCTGCCTGTCTCTCTCTCTCTCTCACGCTCTCTCTCTCTCTCACGCTCTCTCTCTCTCTCGCTCTCTCTCTCTCTCGCTCTCTTTCTCTCTCTCGCTCTCTTTCTCTCTCTCGCTCTCTTTCTCTCCCTCGCTCTCTTTCTCTCCCTCGCTCTCTTTCTCTCTCTCGCTCTCTTTCTCTCTCGCTCTTTCTCTCTCTCTCTCTCTTTCTCTCTCGCTCTCTTTCTCTCTCTCTCTCGCTCTTTCTCTCTCTCTCGCTCTTTCTATGTCTCTCTCTCTCGCTCTTTCTATGTCTCTCTCTCTCGCTCTTGTTCTCTCTCTTTCTCTCTCTCGCTTTTGTTCTCTCTCTTTCTCTCTCTCTCTCTTGCTCTCTTTCTCTCTCTCTCTCTTGCTCTCTTTCTCTCTCTCTCTCTTGCTCTCTTTCTCTCTCTCTCTTGCTCTCTCTCTCTCTCTTGCTCTCTTTCTCTCTCTCTCTCTCTCTCTCTCTTGCTCTCTTTCTCTCTCTCTCTCTCTCTTGCTCTCTTTCTCTCTTTCTCTCTCTCTCTTGCTCTCTTTCTCTCGCTCTCTCTTTCTCTCTCTCTCTCTCGCTCTCTCTTTCTCTCTCTCTCTCTTTCTCTCTCTCTCTCTTTCTCGTTCTCTCTCTCTCTCGCTTTCTCACTGTGTGTGTGTGTGTGTGTGTGTGTGTGTGTGTGTGTGTGTGTGTGTGTGTGTGTGTGTGTGAGAGAGAATGTGTGCGCGCGCGTAGAAATACGTAAACCAAACAATAACTTACTTGTATGGGTCTTTCAGCTCTTCTACGACAAAGTTGAGGTAGTTCCTAAAAATAGGAAAAACATTACCAATTAACGTCAGGTATAACTCATTTCTAAAACGTTAAAACACACCCAAATGAAGCAACAACTCACATTCTCCCTTGAAACTCTTCCCTCCCCCCTTCTCCGTCTCACTCTCACTCCCCCTCTCATCTCCCTCTCCCTTCTCCCCTCCCTCCCCCTCCCCTTCTCCTTCCTCCTTCCCTCCCCCCTCCCTTCCCCTCCCCTTCTCCTTCCCTCCCTTCCCCTCCCCCTTCTCCTTCCCTCCCTCCCTCCCCCTTCTCCTTCCTCCTTCCCTCCCTCCCCCCCTTACCCTCCGCCTTCTCCCTTCTCCTTCCCTCCCTCCCCCTCCCTAACCCTCCACTTTCTCCTTCCTCCTTCCCCCTTACCCTCCCCCTTCTCCTTCCTCCTTCTCTCCCTCCTTCTCCCCCTCCCCCTCCCTTACCCTCCCCCTTCTCCTTCCTCCTTCCCCTTCTCCCTTCTTCCCCCCCCCCTTTCCCCCTTCTCCACCCGCGCCTCCTTCCGGACACTCACCATCCTGCGAAGGAGAAGAGCCCCTGGTAGAAGGCGGTGGCGAAGGCAGCGGGTTCCCAGTTGGTCCCTACGAAGGGCTTCTGGTAGTTGTCCAGGTTGCCCGTCGCGAGGTGGTACGCGCCGGCGGCCACGATGATCACCAGGGCCAGCAGCTTGGCGCCCGTGAATATGTCTTGCACTTTGGTCGCCCACTTCACGTTCGAGCAGTTGACCCACGTGAGGAAGCCTGCGGGCAGGGGGTGGCGGGTGTGAATAAGGCGCTGCTCGGATACCCTTTGGGATTTTATTACGTGGGAATTGGATTTTTTTTTTTGGGGGGGGAGGGGGCGAAAAAGAAAAATGTGTGTGTGTGTGTGTGTGTGTGTGTGTGTGTGTGTGTGTGTGTGTGTGTGTGTGTGTGTGTGTGTGTGTGTGTGTGCGTGCATGCGTTTGTGTGTACATAAACATTAGCCTTTACTTGATATTCTGATTTTGGAAAAGAGGAGGAAACGCGTGCTCGCAAACAAACACGCAAACAAACAAACAAACAAACACACACACACACACACACACACACACATTCCCCCCACCCCCCTTCCCCCGTGGTGCCCCTCCCGGAAATCTGCATCACCTGCTATGTGATTAAACCAACAATATCCGGTTATTGAAATAATCAATAACCGGCCTTGCTTGCCTCCTGCTTTCACGTCGCATTTCGAAACAGTTTACCTTGACCTCTTCGTGACATTTGGAAGAACCTATTATTTATGTTTTCTCTTCCTTTTTACCCACTCGCTCGATATTCTAGCCTCTATGTAGGCCTATGTATCTGTTCTTCTTAGTGTGTTTGTGTGTGTGTGTGTGTGTGTGTGTGTGTGTGTGTGTGTGTGTGTGTGTGTGTGTGTGCGTGCGTGCGTGCGTGCGTGTGTGTGTGCGTGCGTGTGAGTGTGTGTGCGTGCGTGTGAGTGTGTGTGCGTGCGTGTGAGTGTGTGTGCGTGCGTGTGAGTGTGTGTGCGTGCGTGTGAGTGTGTGTGCGTGCGTGTGAGTGTGTGTGTGTGCGTGTGAGTGTGTGTGTGTGTGTGTGTGTGTGTGTGTGTGTGTGTGTGTGTGTGTGTGTGTGTGTGTGTGTGGTGCGTGAGTGTGTGTGCGTGCGTGTGAGTGTGTGTGCGTGCGTGTGAGTGTGTGTGCGTGCGTGTGAGTGTGTGTGCGTGCGTGTGAGTGTGTGTGCGTGCGTGTGAGTGTGTGTGCGTGCGTGTGAGTGTGCGTGTGAGTGTGCGTGCGTGCGTGTGAGCGTGCGTGCGTGCGTGTGAGTGTGCGTGCGTGCGTGTGAGTGTGCGTGCGTGCGTGCGCGCGCGCGTGTGTGTGTGTGTGTGTGTGTGTGTGTGTGTGTGTGTGTGTGTGTGTGTGTGTGTGTGTGTGTGTGTGCGTGTGTGCGTGCGTGTGCGTGTGAGTGTGCGTGTGCGTGTGAGTGTGCGTGTGAGTGTGCGTGTGAGTGTGCGTGCGTGTGGGTGGGTGGGTGTGCGCGTATGTGTGTGTGTGTACACGCGCGCGGTCACTATGTGCATCTAACAAAGAATACGACAGACCTTACGTTTTTCATCAGAAGCCTAAAGAAAACAGGCGCTTGGCCAATACAGCGTGGCAACTGGCTTGTATATCCTAAAGCAAACACACACACACACACTCCCTGTGCCTTTTAAGAACATTCCAATTCCTTTATTCTTTTCATCCATATTCGAATTACAAAATACCCCGATATATACTTTCCAACTCTTAATATTCACGGAAATGTGTTTTTCTTAGGCAGACAACAGCTGATCAGCAGGTTACCGCCTTTTTTCACTCTATCATTTCCTGAAGCAAAGTAACCTAGGCTGGTCACACTGCTTCACCCGCCAAGTTAACATATACGATTACTTAAAAAACGTGTCAGTCACTTGTTTGGTCTGAAAAAAAATAAGGGTACATGACTATCACTTACCATTAATTCTCACGTGGGTCTCTCACGCTGTTCAAAATCAAGTTTCTAGTACTTCTGTCAGGCAAAGAAGAAGAAGAAGAAGAAGAAGAGGAGGAGGAGGAGGAAGAAGAAAGACTGATTAAATGACATGCTGAAAATTCTATAATGCTGTTTTGAGCGAAAAGAAAGAAAACGCATATTAACTGACAGACTGAACTTTAATTTCAACAATGTTTTTTTTTTTTTTTTTTAAAGATACCCAGCAAACTGCCCAACAACACAACTTTCCTTACAAACGAGAAATTTCGAATCTTGGGTAAAACACTGCATGAGTTTATCGTATAGATAATCAAACGTCAAGCTTTCGTATATGGTGATGAACAATGACAAGCTATTGCGAAAAAATGATAAGATATCACATGGGGTACAAAGTGGGCACTGTTAGTCTAATTCAGGGCCACAGGGGGTTGTTAGTCTATTTCAGGGGCACCGTGGGCACTGTAAGTCTAATTCAGTGGCAAAGTAGGGCTGGTACAGTCTATTTCAGGAGCACAGTAGGAATTGTTAGACTAATTCAGGGGCACAGTAGGCATTTGTCTAATTCAGGGGCACAGTGGGCATTGTTAGTCTAATTCAGGGGCACAGTGGGCATTGTTAGTCTAATTTAGGGCATTATAGCAGCCTAATTCAGGGACCCAGGGTATTTTTACACCTTAATTCAGGAACATAAGATTACAATAATAACGAAAAGGATATCCTTACTATACGTGTTAGGTAACGAGTCCCGAAACCTAGAATATAAAAATTCCTCTAAAGCCTATATCGCTTCATCATTATCAATATATGGATGTAAAAACTGCAAAAATGACAGGAAAAAGCAACTTTGATTACTATGATTACTAATGAATAATCAGTAAATAATGGTAATGATAACAGTAACAATTAACAAAAATTAAAAACTAATAATTATAATAATTACAATCATAATTAGAAAAAAATAACAATAATTATAATACAAAACAATAATTGTTATCATTATAATAATAACAATCAGCATTATTATTATCATTATTATTATTATACCAATAACTAGCGAAACGAAAAAATGAGGCACTTCTCTCCTCTTCTCTCCCTCTTTCGCTCTCCTACATCTCGCCTTCTCTCCACCTTTTTCTGTCCCTCTCCCCTCTCTCCGTTGTTCTCTCCTACCCTTCCCATTTCCCACTCTCAGATTTTCCTTAAATTTACTCTCCCTCTTCCACACCTCCCCCCCCCCCCCACCCTGTTTCCTTAATCTTCCTACTTTACCTCCCCCCACCTCCTTCGCTTCCTAATCCCCTTCCCACCCTCCCCCCATCCCCCTTTTTCTCTCCTGACCCCCCTCCCCCCTCCCTTCCCCCTTACCCATACCCCATGATAAAAACTACTACTCACCGAAAATCCAATCAACTCTTTAAAAACCAATTCCGGACTATCTTAAATCATCCATTCAAAACCATCAAAATAAAATTGAGAAAAAAAACACACGTGACTCTGCTTGGCTTTCATAACAAATAAAAAAAACAAAAACAAGCATGCAATCAAGTACAAACATTGTTTACCCGTGACCAAGCCTTGGAAGGACGCCATCTTTGTGGTTCCACGACCAGAATTCTAGCCCGGTCTTTACTAAGTCTACACTGACCAGTCGAAGGTCAATTTGCAATAATAAGTTCTGGTTCCAAACTCACAAACACAACAAATTACACGCATGTAAAGTAATATGATATTTTTAAAAATGTGTGTGTGTGTGTGTGTGTGTGTGTGTGTGTGTGTGTGTGTGTGTGTGTGTGTGTGTGTGTGTGAGAGAGAGAGAGAGAGAGAGAGAGAGCACGTGCGTGATTATAAATAAATAAAAATTTAATGTATATGTCTAATATATTATTCTGTCTAGTACATCAATGACAAGATTTATTTACGTACACGAGACGAGACACCGATGCAGCATGTCCCTGTACTCAGTCACACGAGTTAAAAATAAAAGCAAAACAAATGTCCACTAAGAAGCCGGATTGCTACGTGTTCAAAGAATCCCAAGAATTTAAACATTTAAACACCACCGTAAACTGTCGAGTTGTTGCTATGGGCGACGTAGGGTTACAAGACAACGAGGCAGAATGCTAGGGTGTCTGGGATAAGGGGAGGGAGTGACAGTACGCAGGGCACTCACTTCGCGGGTTGAGGAGCCGCGTGGGAGCGCCGTTGGGGGTATTGGGGGGGGGGGAGCTGGTACCAACCCCGGGGATCAACGAGTCGGGATGGAGGGGGAAGGGGGGAATTGGTGTTGGGAGAGGGGAATGGGTGTTGGGGGAGGGGAATGGGTGTTGGGGGAGGGGAATGGGTGTTGGGGGAGGGGAATGGGTGTTGGGGGAGGGGAATGGGTGTTGGGGGAGGGGAATGGGTGTTGGGGGAGGGGAATGGGTGTTGGGGGAGGAGGAAGGGGGTGTGAGGGGAGTGTGGGAAAGGGATGAGAAGCCGGGTTGGGTGATGGTACCACCACTAAAAAACAAGTCGGGTAAGAGGGGGACGGGGCAGTCCCAATACCAAGCAAGATCGCGTCGGGGTAAGAGCGCGGGGGGTGGGGGTGGGGGTAGGGGAGTTGAGACTGCGGCATGAACACCAAGGAGGAAAACAAACCGCACACACGCCGCCCGGAGTCAAAATAGTCCGATCTGTGGCTCCCGCGGAAATGCAACTTTCACTATTTGCAGTTTCAAAGACGCAACTCGAACTTCAGTGAACGACAATGTCGAGGCTCAAAAATTAACTCCAAAGACACCATACACATTCCTTCAATCACCCTTTCACAGTTCATCTCCACCATCAATTACGTGGTCAGTACCTTAAAAAGAAAGAAAAAAAAAAGATTGCACACCCTTTGCATTATAACGAAAGAAACAGCTGAAAGGTTGTTTTCTCTTCCCCCAAAACCAACGAGGAAGGCAGTTCATTGCCAATGTCCCTCATTTTTCTTGTATTTCTTTCTGGAATGTCTGCTTTGAGGTCCAAGTTCCTGTGCTACCGCAACTTCCGTGATCTTTAAGTTTACTGCCAGAAGGTAGAGAAGTTACTTACATTCATTAAAGAATATTCGTATTATCAACATCAATTACAATTTTCTATCGATGCAATACCTGAGGACACTGCCCCACTATAAAAAAAACTATTCAGGGACTTCTATATTAATGAGGTTCAATTTTTTTTTCCTCACCGATGCAAGGCGTTGTCCTAAAACCGATTCAATTTCATTTCCCTTTTGGGCTGTTTCCTTTTCAACCGAATCTGTCTTCTCACAGCCCTGCCAGCCAACGGTCGGGTAACAGTTTTATTCATTATAATCGCCACCATAAGTCTAAATAGACTAACTCCAAGTCATACATCAAATCCTGACATAAAAAGGGTATCGCCAAAGGAAAAGGCCCCACTCGGGGTCGTCCATCATGGCACTGTGTTGGAGTGTCAAGGTCGTGTACCCAGCAGGCGCCTCCTCCCGGACCTTGACCTTGGGTGTCCGAGTGCATGATCAAGTTGCAGATAGAGAAGCAGACAACGACTTTTACACATCACATCACATACACTGGACACCGACGCAAAGCATGGGAGCGGCGCAGCGAAGCGACCTGTAACCCTGTGGCGCCCAAGGTTAACGCGCAGCTCCTCCTCAGTTACTTGATTACAGCTAATGATACGTCATTCATACTCTGTCGCTGCCGCCTGCGTGCAAACTGGCCATCATTTCGAAGGGAATATACTGTGAATACAAAAGGTCGTCGCCCTCCCAGTCCGCAGATTATCGCGGTGGCGTCCGAGTGGGACTTGGCACGATAAAAAAGAGAAATAAAAAAGTAACGTGACTCAGTGCGTATGTGACCCTGGCGAGAGCAAGAGGTCACTGCTCTTGGCTCCTACTATCTATGCTTCGGGAAAGAAATCCCCCCTGACGCGACGCAGTTTAACCTTCTTAGGAATACTATAAATCACCTTAAGATGAAAAACGGTTTTCATTTTTCAACATATTTTGTATATTATGTTTTTTTCTGCCGTTAGATCAACACGATAGAGCGTTTTTTTTCTTTCTTTGCCATTCAGCACAAGTGAAATAAAAATGAATAAAAATAATAATAATAATAATAATAACAATAATAACAATAAAAATAAATAACGTCGTTAAGAACCCAGGCAAGCAACGCAGCCCTTCTTAGTGAGTGACTTTGCATATGGACTTATATGCGCTGTTGCGAAGAGAGATTCTGCTTTTGCAGGGTAAGACAACTCTCTAGTTCATTCACTCTCGCACAGGCAAGCACGCACGGACGCACGCACGTGTATGTATGTGTGTGTGTGTGTGTGTGTGTGTGTGTGTGTGTGTGTGTGTGTGTGTGTGTGTGTGTGTGTGTGTGTGTGTGTGTGTGTGTGTGCGTGTGTGCGTGTGTGCGTGTGTGCGTGTGTGTGTGTGTGTGTGTGTGTGTGTGTGTGTGTGTGTGTGTGTGTGTGTGTGTGTGTGTGTGTGTGTGTGTGCGTGTGCGTGTGCGTGTGCGTGCAAGTCGAACAATAAGCCCTATTCTTACCCTAACAAGTCTAAAATATAACAAAATAGCATGTTATTCGACCCGGACCAATTAGCCAAGGTCAGTCGTACAGTAAATAATCCAAACAAGGTCAACGGAGATAGAGGAATCGCCCCCCCCACCCCCCCAGTCTGGTTTAGATATCTGCTATAAACTGGGGGCTGCTGTTAATACTAACGGTCCTTTGATGCACAGTCGACGTTCCTGACGGCTTAAATGTTATTTATTATCTGCTCCACTAGCAACTAAGAGTGATGCCTTTGTGATGTGTATACATTGATTTTGTTATGACTTTAAATAGAACTTATACAAAATATATCTAAGGTTGTGTAATATGTGTAAACATGTGTATACAAATTATGTAACTCTGACCTTCTCCGGTACAGGATTAGTACATATTAACAGATCAGTGCAGTTTGTTTTTATGCAAAACCAATTAAGTAAACATGTAGGGATTTCAGTAGACAATATCTAAATAACCAGACATCATGGTGTACATTATCTATATGTACGTTCAAAGGCCGTACACATACTGGTGTCGGCATACTTTCCATGGGGCAATATCACCTACATACAGACCTATATAAACTTCTCTCATTTAGTCTGCACAGCCTGGGGTCTTGATACTGATTCCTAATATATGTATGCTTCCCTAGTGGTTGCCTGAAATATGTCTTACAGGAATGGGAAGTGACCAGGACTCGAGGATACTTATAATGAAAACTGGAAGTACTATATATCTTCGAATATTAGCATCAGTAATAGTAATAACAGTTGTAATATATAATATAATTAGTAGCGGCAATGTTAATAATAAGTAATAGTGTCAGTAATAATGAAAACCAGTAGCAATATAAAACAAAACAAAAACAGTGAACACACACATGACACCAGTAATAATAAAAGGCAAAAAAATAATTAACACCAAGAAAAGAAAAGAAAAAAAGCAACAACAAACAACTCTCTCAAAAAGACGTTTTCATGACAAAACCACCACTAAAATTTCCCAACAACACGAATAACAACAAATAACAACAATGTAAACCAAGACACTCACATATAACAACGGCCGCCAGGAGTCGCACGGGTATATCGGGCGGGGCGTCGCAATCGGAGAAAAGCGGCTGCAGAATGTAGTTAGCGAAGGTAAGGGCGATGACCGTGTTCCCCGTGGGCATGATGATCACCAGCGCCACCCACAGGTACAGGAAAGCCATGAGGGGACCAAAAGCCTCGTGGATGTAAGCGTAGTCCCCGCCGCTCCTGGGGATCATAGTACCTGCAGGAGGAAGAGAAAGAGAGAGAGAGGACGTGGGTGAGGGTGTTGTCACTCACGGATGCTTTGTTTTTGAGGGAATGAGAGGGGAGGGGAGGGGAGGCGAGAGAATGTGTCAGGCATACCGAGGGGAACCGTCGGATATGCACAGCAAGAAGGGAACGTTGATCTGGATTTGAATAACACGATTTCCTATAAGCAAGATACCCATAAGAACGAGCGTTGCGATATACAATAAATGAATAAAATTGCACCTAAACAATATATCAACCACACGCATGGTGAAGGGAAAGAGAATAGAAGGGATAAAAAGCGAAAGAAATGAAAAAAAAAAAAAAAAAAAATAGGCGTATAAAAGTGCGGAAAGGATAGACTCACATAGAAAAACAAAAACAAAAACAAGACTAGAAATGAAAGTCATCGTTGGCATTAATACTAATGAATCGATATTGCAAAACGTGCAGAGCGCGGTAATGTAAAGCTCATGTTTTTTTTTTTCTTCTTCATCTTCTCTGAGGGCACTGAAGCGAAAATGCATTTGAGCGATTAGAAGTGACTGATGCCAAGTTGGAAAGTTGAAGATAATAATTTCACTTACAACAATTATCCAGCAATATTGATTTCGGTCAATCGTCACCAGCCTTGTAAGTGCATCTCCGCCTCAACAACAACAACAATAATAATAACTAAACTAATAATTATAATATTTATAACTAATAATAACAAAATAATAATAATTAGTAGAATAGATAGAAAAATACAGTCATAAGGACAATAACACTAACAACAACAATAACAAAAATGATAAAAATAACAACAATCATATATCAACAATAATAATAATGTAGATCCGAAAAGGTTTCAGTTATGTAGGCCTATCTAATGCAGTGGTTTCCATCCAATGAGGCATAGACGAATGTTTGAGAAACAGGTAATGATATTTAAGGAATATCAATTACGTTGGATTTTGAGAGTGTAGGCAGCGAAACAAGCACAACAAACACACTTGCAAAGGTATTTATTTTGTCTGAGATATTTATCTACATGTACCGACTGTGCCAATACAGTACAATACAGTACTGAAGGAAGGGCGGTGCAGGGGACATGTCATTGAGTAAGGGGAGGGGGAAGGTGTCACGAATCAGAAATGACTGGAAACCAATTATATAATATAAAGCTGGGCTTATCTTATACTTCCACGGATTATTACTATTTGATTTACAAACATACAAATTAAATAAATCTTTAGTAACTTCGTGCGATATTCGGCGCACACCGCACTTTCCAGCTCAATATTACAGAAGTGTAGCGGTAAACGGTCATCTGATCCTTCTACGTCTTAAGTTATTTTCCTAAAGAAGGTGGATGCTTAAAGTAAGCTATACTGTTTATTTATTTATCTACCTATGATATTTTCTTGTCTCTAAATTTTCAACTGCATTTAAGACGATGATAATTAACCGAATATAATGTGTAATAATAATTCCATGGAACTTTATATAACTATCACCGAACATACCAATTAACAAACTTTTTTTTTATCAACTATCATCACCAACGTCTCCAGCGCGTCTCCCCCTCGAGAAAAACGGAGAATTGTTTGTGATTCATTCAAGAACGCAAACAATTTTAAAATACGAACATGGACCGCTCCTCTCCTCCTTTCCGAGTTGTTTATACGTTTATTTAATCATTGCCCCTTACTGTTACTCGGATTCTTTCCTTTGCTCGTAACATAATAATAATATAGTTACAATTATTGTTGGACCTCAATCTACTGAAAGGGAAAAAAGTAGTATATTTATCGTACTTTAACCCTATCCTTTGTCCCTTTTCTCCGCATATAACAAGACCATGAAAAAAACTCCAATCAATGATCCACAAACAAGAGAGATAAACAATCCCTGATCTAAATTCTCCCACTACGCACTCCCATGTGGTCTAGTGGCTAGGATACCTGGCTTTCGCCCAGGAGGCCCGGGGTTCGATTCCCGGCATGGGAACTTTTGATTTTTATATTACGCTTATTTTTGCCAGTTAAACGATAATTATTGCTATTTCTTATTTCCTGGACCTGTGTTTTGTTCTTAAATGGACCTTGAGAATCAATATTGTTCATTAGGAAATATCGTTAGGTATGCTGTGGTATTTATTGATGTCAATACAGGTCTCGTGCAACAATACTGCATTGTGTGAAGTGAGTTTAGATATCATCTAATTGATTTGTAATATCACAAATCACTCAATCTGACTGCTTTAGTTTAAATCTAAATTTATTTAACAAATGACTTTGACTTTGTGCGATTCCTTACGGTGAGGATCTGTTTATTTTATATAAAGAATTAAACTATTTGACTTGTTTTAAATCCATTTCTTTTCTACAACTACGTTAGGATTATTTTCTGATGGGGAAAACTAAATCTGCAACGTTTGTTAGCTTTTACAGAAACGAATCTGTACTTCAACTACATTTGCGAAAGCGGACCGAATGCAGACAAAAGGCTTGCACGCCTGCCTTAAAATAGCACGTACAGAAATGAGCCTCAGCCTAGACCGCAAGTTAGATACACCAGATAATGCAAATGAATCGTTGCTTCTAATTGGAAGAAAAGCTGATAATGACACTTTCAAACGCTCTAAACTGCTTACATATAACGAAATGATACAGCTAACCGAATGCTCGAGACAGCAGCCCCAGCTGGTGCCCCCGCTTCCCACCGAGGTGATACCCCGTACAATGTGTCAGGAACCAAGGCTTTTGACGACGACAAAAAGCGTTTATTCAAAACCAGCTGCAGTAAATCTGGACATCCTCATCTAAGAATGTGCCTAAATCTCTTCCCTCTTGAGAGCGTGGGGCAAGGAGTGGTATTTTTGATGGAGCGCCAGAGAAGATTCTTCGGCCAAGGTCACCAAAGATTAGGAGACTTACCAATGCGGATGAGACGCTTGCACTGGTTCTTTGGGTAAAATCAACAGACTGTTTAGAGGTTCGATATACTGACTGCACGTTGATACCTAATGTGAATAAAGCTTTACTAAAAGAGACGTAACGGCATGTCACCAGTAAGGAAGATGATGATAGTATGGGAAATATACTGGTATTAACTATACCTAAATAAAAACCATATCTAAACAAAAAAATATTCTTATCAATAATCTTCTGCGCATCACTAGAAATGCATGTAAAATCCTGTTCTTGTTGTAAACATGTTTAAACAAATAGAACTACACAAAAGGAGAGCTCGCACATTTGAACACTAAGAATTCCCTCTGAAGCATAATAAATATGTATATAAAGTCGCCAAAAATATAAACATAAAAAGACGATACTAAATACAACACAGTCTGTCACTACCTTTACATGATTGTTAGAAGCATCTATACTAACCACTGTCGAATGAACTTTACTGATTCTAACCTAACAGCAGTTTACCAAAATACACGGTGTATTTAACTATCACTATCGCCGCCTGTAGTAGTAACGGCAGTGGTAGGTAGGATTAAAATTATTATTATTATTATTATTATTATTAGTAGTAGTAGTAGTAGTAGTAGTAGTAGTAGTAGAAGTAGTAGTAGTAGAAGTAGTAGTAGTAGAAGTAGTAGTGGGAGTAATAGTAGTAGCCGTAGTATTACCAGTCGTAGTCATAATAACAAGAGTAGTAATAATGGTTTTAGTAATAGTAATAATAGTTTTAGTAGTAGTAATAATAGTTTTTAGTAGTAGTAATAGTAGTAGTAGTAGTAGCAATAGTAGTAGTAGTAGTAGGCGTATTAATAGTAACAGTAATAGTAGTAACAGTAATAGTAGTAGTAGTAGTAGTAGTAGTAGTAGTAGTAGTAGTAGTAGTAGTAGTAGTAGTAGTAGTAGTAGCAGCAGCAGCAGCAGCAGCAGCAGCAGTAATAGTAATATCAGTCGTAGTAGTAATATTAGCAGTAGTAGTAGTAATTGTAGTAGTAGTAGTAATAGTAATAATAGTAGTAGTAATAGTAATAATAGTAGTAGTAGTAGTAATAGTAATAATAGTAGTAGTAATAGTAATAATAGTAGTAGTAATAGTAATAATAGTAGTAGTAATAGTAATAATAGTAGTAGTAATAGTAATAATAGTAGTAGTAATAGTAATAATAGTAGTAGTGGTACTAGTAATAGTAATAATAGTAATAGTAGTAGTAGTAGTAGTAGTAGTAGTAGTAGTAGTAGTAGTAGTAGTAGTAGTAGTAGTAGTAGTAGTAGTAGTAGTAGTAGTAGTAGCAGCAGTAGCAGTAGTAGTAATGGTAGTAGCAATAGCAATAGTAATAATAGTAGTAGTAGTACTTGTAATAGAAGAAGTAGAAGTAGAAGTAGGACTACAAGTAAATACTACTACTACTACTACTACTACTACTACTTTATACTACTACTCTGAAATAAACTGTGAAGTAGCGCTCGCCAAAAGTTACAGAGGAAAGCAGATTAGTGAGGGAATGCAGTAGAATTCAGTATCATGGCGCTAGTGGTATCGGTGGTAGCGGTTGTGGTTGTAATATTTAATATCAAATACATCCAAACTTCCACTTCTAGCACTGAAATTAACGTAAAATACATCAAAAGTTACTGATGGCTGACTAACATTCACAAACCTGTCCTTCAAGACGCAAGTCATTATTCAAAACTGTGCCATGTAAAATTCCTAAAAAGTCAAGAAAAATATCCATTTAAAAAGGGCAAAAACTGGATCGTTATCAATGGTAAAATGCTTATATATATGTCTCTCTACTATTGAATCTATCAGCCCGTAATGATTGATGTGCGAATGCAGTGGCCTTGGCAGCATCTGCAGTTGCATGAAAATCTGATGATTTATTTTATCTGATGAATAATTCTAGCCCCCCCCCCCCCAACAAAAAAAAAAAAAAGACACTCGTCAAATACCTCAGTATAGACGTACTAACATACTCTCGATGATCTAGCGTTACTCACCTAGTTCGGCGTAGCACAGGGCACCCACGGTGGAGAGGAGGCCCGACACCCCCCACACGATAAGCGCCACGCCAATGCTGCCGCTATACTCGAGCACGCCCTTGGGAGACACGAAGATGCCCGAACCAACGATGATCCCCACGATGATGGCAATGCCCTCCGTCAAGCCTAGCTCCTTCTTCAGCTTCACTCCTGACGTGCCTTCTCCATCGCCGCCTTCTCCTTCCTTTGACCCCGTCTGGGAGGAGGTCGCCAAGGGCTCCAACTCGGCCGTCGCGGCTGCAACTGTGTCTTGCGCCGTCGCCATGCTGAAGGCTCTCTCCAGGGACACGAGGGGCGCTGGTCGTGGCAACGGTGGTGGCGGCGTCGGTGACGGCTAGCTACCACAGACGGCGATCGCGCTGTGTGGGCAAGGTCGAAACAGGTCCTCCGCACTGACACACACTGACTGCTCCTCTGCGATTTCCAACCCTTGATTTGACACCTCTGAAGCACTTGTGTACATTCTTAGAACATTTTCACGACTGGCCCAATTAACAAGCCGAGATTACCTGATTCTTCTGAAGGCTGTTTATGTGCGGGTGAACAAGCACCGAGACGACCCATGCAATATCTACACGCTGCCTATATCGCCGAACTCGCTCTGTCAAGTGTTCTTGTTCGCATCACTGGGTCGACGGACTTGCAAAGTGGAATTTTCCCTGAATGCGCTTCACCTTTCTTCAACCTGGAAATAAATGAAAAATTAGGTCACAAATGGGTTCACAGAAGTATCTAGAATAATAAGCTTGACAAGTGCAAACGCACAGCGCCCTACGCTTGAATTCAACCGAGATCGAGATTAAAACAAAAAAAAAAATACGGATGATTATTGTCCTACGTCATTAAGCGAAACATTCTCACTAGAAGTGGGGGAGGCAGGATATAGATGTCATGCGAGGTAGTACAGTATTATAATCAGGACAGTGTGAGTTCGGCGTGGCTCATCTGGCCCGCCTGCCGCACACCCTCTTCCATGCAGGGCCAATACGCAACATCTCTCTCGCGTACACTTTATTTACTACTTCTCCTTATCACCAATACCTGATGGATCACTGTATTTGCATGGCCTTACACGCACAATACTTCGACTGCCCAGCTCACTGAGGCCAACTGCTACAGGGCACACCAAGGCACTTCTCCCTCCCTTCACTGTACTCCTTACTCTATGAACTCTTCACTCCCTTCCTTCACTTCTATCGCCTCGTGTGTAACTACACTCAGTTGTTACACAGGAGTTACATAGATATTGTGGGTTTTGGTTTGGTACTGGGTATCATCTGATCCGAAGTCTGACGCTTGGCACGTGTATCAAGGCAATTATTGTGCTGTAGATGAACAATATCTGAGTCTGCTAGTGTGTGAGGCGGCTGTGGGAAGGTGATGATGTGGGATAATGGTGTATCACAGGAAACTGCTACTTACAGCCTCCCGCCCTCACCCGTGCCTCACCCTCACTCACCCGTGCCTCACCCTCGTTTCACCCTTACCCTAGCCTTTGCGCTCATCCGTATCTCACCCCCTTGTTTACCCTTGTTTATCATTAACTGTTGTGACTCCCATTCCCCTTCCCCTTTCCGCCCCCTTGTTTTGAAACTCGCAGTCTATGTTTTTGTTTACCTGGAGCTACTTTCTGTATCTACATCCATATAGTTATTCCCTATCCAATAATACACTAAAAACAAACACACAATTCTCATTATCATTTATTGACCTCCGAAAAATATGCCTCATCACCTTCTCTTCCCGTCACCTTCAAATACAACAAATCTAATTCACAAATTTCACTCCACGGAGATTCCTTCTCACGCAACAAAGAAACGAAATCCAGGACACAAAACCAACACTGAAGAAATGGACATCAACCTCTCGTCTACGGAACGCAATGCATTACCTCTGCTTCGCTTGCACTCTGGTTACCGGAGAGGGCAGCACACACCCCCAGAACACCCACTCCAGCACCCACACGCACACGACTGGGCCACTCAGTGCGCCGCTTCACACGCCCACGAGTCGAGACTTCACCCGAGACGATTCACTTTCGGTCGGATCCTCGGGGGTTCGGGGTCCTATTATCATCAATGACTAAATCATCCCTATTTTTATTATTAGTTATTATTACTATTATTGTTAATGTTTTGTTGTTATTATTATTATCACCATCATAGTTGTTACTATCGTTATTATTAATACTGTTATTAATATTGTTATTATTGTTTTGTTATTGTTATTATTATTATCACCATCATAGTTGTTACTATCGTTATTATTAATACTGTTATTATTGTTATTATTACTATTATTATCATCATTATTACAACTATTATCATTATCATTACTATTATTGTTGTTATCACCATTATTACTATCATTATTATTATTACTATTATTGTTGTTATCACCATTATTACTATTATTATTATTACCATTATTATTGTTACTATCATTATTACTAATGTTATTGCTATTATCATCATTATTACTATTATCACATTCATTATTACTATGATAGTTACTATCACTATCGAATGGTGAAACCTCTGCTCCCTCAACCAGGCCACTTTTCCAAAGCTCTTAAAAATAGACGCGTATAATTAAAAGCGCTTCCCACGTGTAATATAACTGATAACTACAAACACGATGCCTTTAAAATTCTCCCTTCTCTTTATTTCTGTTCATATTGAAAATTATTTCGCTCTCACTCCTTTGTTCTTAAAATAGGGGAACAGTTTGCATAGTACGTTACAGGTGCGTAAACTGACAGATTCCTCCGACATTTTTTCGACGTCTTAGTAAAATTGTAAACCGAAAATAAACAATAGGGCTAAGTCTATAAATATCTCAAGCAGTTGGTGCTGTACGAAATAAACAAATAAATAACATGAAATACACTCAAAACAAGGATCAAACCGTAAAATCAAGTATCATTACATCCACACGCAATCACTTTCCCAATGCGAATGTTCTGACAACAAACGCACAGAGCGGCAACGTTAAACAGCTGAGTCAGTATCCTTGGCTATATTTCTATGATGGAACAATACGTACTCAGTATCCTTGGCTATATATTTCTGTGATGATGCAATATGTAATCAGTACCCTTGGCTATATTTCTATAAGGAATCAATACAGTGGCAATTCTACGAAGACAGAACATTTTCACGAAAAACTTTCCATTGGGACACATAAACCACAGATAAGTATAGATCACACACTTCGCAAAATCCAAGGGACAAACGAAGGCGCTTCTTACTTATAATGTCCTCTGTGTATTTCTCCTTGCGGTTTAATTCATTTTCTCTGTATACACATCTAGATATGAACTCATGACTGATATTTTTACCCATTGTTCGTGTGCCGTAATGGACATGACACTCATTTCAATCCATATTTTACGTACATATGCATTTTCAGTTATATTTCTACTGATTCTCATAGAAATAACATACTAAATATTTCACCATATTTCAAGTGTTTTCCTCTACCATGGAATAACCCCAGTCACCACTACAAGTGAAAATAGCCCCAAGAGCGCCACGTATAGAACGTAAATCGACAATGGACTCGAAATACAGTCTGCATTATAACAACACCTGTAGAGATATAACGTAGAGCCATCACGTGTTCCAGCTGTCTGAATCATGCCAAGGTATAACGATTAAATGGTTAACACAAAGTAAATGGTAGGGAAAATTTAAAAAATAATAATAATCCCAAGTTGAAATGGATATTATACAGAAGAAACCGAAATATTATGCAATTACGGTAAAACTTTTGTTCAGTAATAATTAATCCCTATTCTAGTCGGCATTATCATTACTGTTGTAGCAATGATATTACTGTCATTATAAACTATTAAGATTAATGACACTGTATAACACAGGTACAAACGATACGTTTAGCACACGATGTCAAAAAAATAAGAAAAAAAAAATGAGAAGCTTGTGTGTGACCTAAAAGGACTGTCGTGATCGAGATGTAAACACGAAGTCCAGAGAGAACTTTCTAGAACTGCGTCTCTTTCTTGTTCTCCATCTATGGGTCGCCGAT